ATTACTCCTGGCTCTGTGCTCAAGAATCACTCCTGGTGGGCTCAAAGGACCATATGGAGTGTCAGGGTTCGAACTCTGGGTCAGCCACATGAAAGCCAAGTGCCTTACCCTCTGTACTATCACTCGGGTTTTGATTTCTTAGCAGTAAAATCAAACATATGGCAATGTTCAAATTATATTAGGAGGCTGTTGCTGGTGAAGAGAAACAGGGAGGGCCCCCTCTCAAAGGCAATCATATTCCCATCACTGACTCCCATCCAAATAGGACCCACCATACGAACTGGCAGCAGGAAACTTGTGTTCTGACTTGCTCTAATGATGACTCTTTTGCCTTCAATCCTCCCAGTCGTTATGTTGAAGGTGATAAACCCTGTTGTTTTTAAAGAGCCTTTTTGAAACATCACTACAATCCTATTTGGTCTCATTGGGGTGCAAGAGACTCTATGGCATGATGAATATGGGACTGAGTCACAGGAATGTGGCTTCCTGTCGAGGTTCAGTAAGCACTCTGCCAAAAATATCACTGGCAAGGTGGCTTGATGGGTTCCACATGCAAACAGCCATGTCTTTTTTTGTCAGGAGAGAAGTACAGAAAACCAACACTATATCCAAATGCATTTACTTTAGAAACGTCACTTAACTCAGGCACAGTCACTGTGTAGATGTCACCTTTAATGCTGCCCACCATTAGGAATGCTGCCTCCATAGTGAGCCAGGTTTCCAAGAAAAAACATGGTTGCGCATGTTGAGAGTAGCCAAGGCATCTTAATCCAAACAATTTCACATTTTGACAATTCTCTCCATATCCACAGTGAATACAAGATGCTTGCAACGGTTGCTCATTGCAAGAGGAATATTATGCTAATTCAAAATGCCTCAAGTAGTTATAGAAATCACAAATTGAGAAATAACGTAAGAAACCTTATGAAAAGCTTATGGAAAGACTGGTTACAAGGCCAAAGGTTATACAATTTATTGCAAGCATTTGCACTTCTGTTGAGACAGTGCTACCCAAAATTATTACTTTCATTTTTTATACTTTATATATTCATATTTTGCAATACTAATTTCACATACTTAATAAATATTGGAAAAACTTTAATTGAAATTAAATAAGTATACCCTTCTCAAACTGTTAGTCCAAAAAGCAAACCTCTTAAATTCTAAGACAGTATTAAATGTGAACTCTACTCCTAAACACAAAATTTAAAAATGAACCAGGCTGCAATTTAGCTTCTCTGAAAATTAACAGGATACTCGTGTAAAAAAATAGAAAACCACTGATAGCAATCAGTATGGTAACAAAATGAGTTTCCTGAAGCTCCCAGGTGTCTTCGTAATTGAAATTTCTTAAAAAAAAAGATGACATTATATAGCAATAGGTCTAAGAGAAAATATATTTCCCAGATACTGAACTATACAGGAAGGGCTAATATTTCATTATTCAGAATCTAGACTTAGTCTTGCCTAAAAACACATCAAACTCCAGTTTTAGGACTATACAAAATGTCTAAAATTTTCTGAACAAGACAAAATTACCTGAATGAGAGTTGTAATAAGAGAATTTGACTACTATTCTTTCTGTTCAGCACCAGAGCACCACTACCATGTTAAGAGGGTTAAAAAAAAAGTTTGGTGGGGAGGATGAGGAGACCCACAAATCAGTGCTCAGAAGTTCCTCCTGGCTCGATATTCAGAGGCTGCTACTGGCCAGTTTGGGGGATTATGCGGGGTGCCAGGAACAAACCTAGACTGGCCCATGCAAAGCTAGCACCTTATCTACTATACCATCTCCATGTCCCTAAGAAAGCTAAATCTAATAAGCAAATACTTTTTTGAAAATTCCCAAGAAGGTAGTAGGACAGCAGAGACAGTAATATGGAAAATTTCTCCTACCATCCAAACTTATTTTAGATCAGTAAGATTTGTCTGATCTTTATCCAAAGGTTTAAAGACCCCCCTTGCAAGTGTCAAGGAAGACAGACACCTAACATTAAGTTCCGATCATCTTGTCATTGTAAGTAAACTTAGTATTTTCCAACATAATTGTTAGTCACGAGTTAAAGCCATACTCATTTTATTGATATGAAGATCACTATTCTTTAATATAAACATTTTGCTCTATGGTTGAGAGGCTGTAAGATTGTGGTTCACGAGTTTCTAGTTCATGTGTGTGTTTAGACTGGTTACTATTACCCACAAAATCTAGTGTTATTGCACTGCTTCAGTGATCATTTTGGTGGTACATGTAGAAGCAGGATTTCTAAGTACTATCTCTATATTCAGTTTTAAGTAGATACATCCCACCACATAGATTCCTTTGTGGTGCCATTCCAATAATGTTTTAACATCTCTACTTATGCAAATGAATTTCGGCTATTTAGGATGATGTGTTATTGCAGGCTCCAATAATAAAGGATCCTTACTCAGAGAGGTTTCAGCTGTAGAGAATGAAAATCATTTAGTATTTTCTAATGTGTTTTCTTCCCAGAAACCATACAAGTACTATAGTCACGAGACTTTTATTTCAAGAGTTTAAAATATATCTGGATATATTTTACTAGGGCTGGAGCGATAGCACAGCGGGTAGGGCGTTCGCCTTACAAGCGGCCAACATGGCCGACCCGAGTTCAATTCCTCCGCCCCTCTCGGAGAGCCCGGCAAGCTACCGAGAGTATTCGATATGCCAGACACAGTAACAACAAAGTCTCCAATGGAGACGTTACTGGGCCCGCTCGAGCAAATCGACGATCAACGGGAGGGCCTTTACCTTTACCTATATTTTACTAAAGTAGGAAAGAAAACTTCAATCCACTTCCTTGAGTTCTGGATGAAGGCTTGACTTCCTAATGTCGTTAGGTTCACTGTAAAACACCACCTAGAATTCTTTACTTCCAGTTCTGCTTAGTCACTTGTGTTTCAAATACTTCCAGTCTCTCACTTTTTGCACTGAACTTACAAGTTCCTTTTGCCTTCTACACTATTAACTTTGGTGCTTCCAATACATTTCCTCTTTTAGATTGGATTGTTGAATTATTTTTATTTTTTTGTTTGTTTGAAATTACCAGAACATGGCTGATACTCATTCGCTTTACCGGATAAAAGCAAATGAGTATCAGCCATAGCACAGCGGGTAGGGCGTTCGCCTTACAAGCGGCCAGCATGGCCGACCCGAGTTCGATTCCTCCGCCCCTCTCGGAGAGCCCGGCAAGCTACCGAGAGTATTCGATATGCCAGACACAGTAACAACAAAGTCTCTAATGGAGACGTTACTGGGCCCGCTCGAGCAAATCGACGATCAACGGGAGGGGCTGATACTCAATGAATTCTTTTTCTTGAAACTGAGTTAAAGTTGTTAGGAAATTGGAGCTGGAGAAATAGTCCGGTGGGGGGGTAGGAGGGGACACGGGAGGGGGGAGATTGGGGGAGGGGCGTTTTCCTTGCATGTGGCAGACCAGGGTAAGATTCAATTCCCAGCATCCCTTAGGGTCCACCAAGAACTGCCAGGAATGATTCCTGAGTGCAGAGCCAGAAGCATCATCGGGTATGACCCCAAAAGCCCCCCACCCCGCCGAAAATAAGAGTTGTTAGGAAATCTCTGAATACAATTTTAATGAAGACATACAAAATAAAATGTGAGGTACCAGATTTTTATTTGTGGACAAAGAGATATGTTCCTACAGAGGGGAACTAGAGCACAGGATAAAGACATCTCTACAAAACACAGCGAAATGCTTGTTTTGAAGTCAATCTTACATTCTCCATATAATGTATGCTCTCTTTTATGTGTTCATATATACAAAAACATACATTTTTAATGATACAACTTATTGACAAAATGTACTATTCCTTTCGTTTTCTTCCTAGTTTTGTCTGAAATGGAATAGCAATACATGAGTCAGGTATTTTCATCATTAAGAGTAAGTTTTCAAACAGTTAATATTCTCAGAGAAGTATATTATCTTCAAATAGGAAGTAAAAAATATCAGAGATAAGCTAAATCTCAATCATTTCAAATTTCTCTGATTTCTAAAGCACCTGGTCAGGGTAACCAGGCTTTATATATAAGGAGACTAAAAACAAGCAATTGTCCCCAAAGTGAAAAATCTCCTCTCAAAGACATCAAAATCGTAAGTTTTGCCCACTGCTGACTTAATAATGAAACGGCTGAAATTCTCATTTATTCTTTCATAATGAAAACACTATTTGATTGCTTCAACTCTAATTTTTTTTTTTTTTGGAATTCCCCCCTCCCCCCCCCGAACTCTGAAGGTGTTTTATTTACAAGGACAGGAAGGCTCACATGGTATGGAAGGGGGTCTCTAAGGAAGACTCCCTACTTTCAATGATTAAGGAAGCACAGATATGAAACAGGATCGAAACATATACATCAATTACTAAATTTACCGTCACATAGCCAACCACATGAACGAACTATTCCCCACCCGCAAGAAAAGTCACAATTTGCTTCATATTGATTTGGGCTGTTAACCCTCGTGGTCTCAGGACAGGGGCCATTTAACAGCCCTTGTGCATATCCCTCTATTTCCACCAGTCCCAGTAACCTGTCATGGTACCATCTTTTGAGTGTGGCTCTTTCCACGATCATGTAAAATGAACAAACAACTAAGAGAGTACCAAGACTTTTATCATCAGAAACCAGAGCCTAAACTTAAGTGGGTTGATGTCAAAAGGCTGGACTTGTGAGTTCACAGTCCGCCCTACAGTGAGAAGTTCCACAAGAAATTGGGGAAGAGGACAAGATAGGCACAGATCTGGACATGGGGATGGGTGCCAAGCTTCAGACAAGGTAAATTCCTAGCTCTGCACCCACTCCAAGTAGCTGAGACAAATGAACCAGAGATCCTACTTTCCTCCAGACCTGTACAGTTCATGAATACCAGGCCTCAGCTTGAGACTGACCTAAGAGTCTTCCTCACGTCCCCTAGGGAAGCCATGCCAAAATTATATCTTATAGATGTTAAGTGGTTAGCCTTGAGAGACAAAGTATGGTAAGGTGGGTTAAGCCAAAGGTAAATCTCCCTCATTTCTCCTTCTACTTCCCTATCTGCCCCACTTCTCCTTAAATTTGCAGAACATTTCCCAGTCCTTGCCATAATGCCTCTGACATTCTTCACATGGTGCCAGGTCAGGAAGGTTCTCCTCCTGTGGTGGCTGTTTCTTTCTCTGACTCAAGGGATAGTGGCTTACCCTGCAGGACGGACAGCAGCTGGAGGAAGGTCTGGTGCCTGGAACAAGGAGGAGAATGTAAAAGGAAGGGGATCTGAGCTGGATCATCAAGGATTAGTGATCTATGCCCCCAGGCTCACCGCTGCAGCTTGTCTTGCTCCTGTACTGCCTTCTGCTTCATGGTTTCAACTTCCTCTTCTAGCCTCTTAAGTGCCTGCTGAGATCTTTCCTGGCATTGCCTTACTTCTGCAGAAACTTCTGCCAGACACTGCAGATGCTTCTCCTGCCAAGAGTTAAAATGTAGACATGACTTGTTAGACTGTAGTTTTAGAGTCAAGGTTTTAGAGCCAAGGTATTAAGGAACCTTAATCTTTCCAGGAGAGATGCAATGTGGATTTCATATAAAAAGAAGAGAGCCCCTATTCACTTTAGACAGGGTTCAAGAGAAGTTTTTCCTCAACCTTTGTTCAATAATAGCCTCCTTCCAACCATTTCCCTCCTGTGGCCACTCTGTCCTATCAGCTGACCCTAGTCTTGTGTTCATCTATGCACACAATTTTCACTTGCGCCCCAACATGGGATATCTGGGGGACCAGAGAGGGCCAAATAAACCTGAGAACTGGGTCTAGAAAAAAGAGGAAATGAGTTTCTTTTCCAATAGGAGGCAGAGAGATGACAATAAAACATACTTTTCTCTATGCAGGTACTTGAGTCTGTAGGACAGGTGCTAACATTGTCTCCATGTAACAAAGAACTAGAAGCACAGTACTTAAGTAGGTGACTGCCCAGTCAGAGAGGACTAAGTGGTAATGATGAGATCTGAGTCCGCGTTGCTAGTTAGGCTAGTAAAATCTCACAGGAGGAAGAGGAAGTGAAAGAGCGTGTTTCAGACAAAGGACAAAAACCTCTGCGATGGGACCAGGGCGAACCGGAAAATACAAACCCACCTGCTGTAGACGCCATTGCTTTTGGGCTTCTCTGCGTTTCTTCACAGCCACTTGCTTCTGTAGGAAGTCAAAAGATGGGGAGAAAAGCAGGCGTGGTTTTCTGGTCAAACCTTGGGCAGACGCCAAGCAATCCGACGCAGCATGCTCACCCTTTTCTTCGCCCGGCCCGCCTGTCCTTCCCTCCCTGCTCCGGTCCCACCTTGGCCTCGAGCTGCTCCAGCGCCTCCTGGAGCTGCACCCGCTTTGCTTGAGTCTCCTCCACCTTGGACAGAACCTGGCTCAAGGCGCTTGTGATGTTCTCCACGTGCTCATGGTAGGTGGCCTTCAGCTCCTTCCACTGCCCCTTGGCTTCGGTCGCCTTCTGCCCTGGGGTAAGCCACCGAGAGGGGCACGGTGCCCGAGAGTCCTCTGCCTACCCACCGACCCCCCACAGCCCTCCTCAGGGCAGGGAAGCCCCCTCCTGCCCACAGCTGCTCACGGCTCGTGTCTTCGGAGGCCATGGGGTCCAGGCCCTGCACGGCATCCTCCTGAGTCAGGAAGTTCTGCAAGAAGTCGACCACCTGGAGCTGGCTGCAGAGCAGCTTGTCCTTCTTGCGGGCGTCCTGTCGGGGGTGGGCGGCGCCGACAAGTCTCCTCGTGCCCTTTCCCTCCCGGGAGGCCGCCCGGTCCGTGCCCGGCCCGCACCTACCACCACGAACTCCGCCAGGATCTGCGCGGGCAGTTCCGCCTCCTCCTGCGGGCCCCTCGGCTCCGAGACAACGTCTGTGACCTGGGCCAGGGCGCTGCAATAGTAAGGGAGCCGGGGGTGGGCAGCGTCCCCGGGCGGGCGGGCGGGGAGGGCCGCGTACACGTGCACTGCGCGAGGCCTGGCCCCGGCCCACGGCCGACCGTGACCTCCGTTGGCTGCGCAGGACCCGCACCAGGGGCGCCTCGCAGCAGGGGCGTGGAAGGGAGGTCCTACAAGTCGGGGGTTTCTTAGCAGGGCAGGCGGAGGGGCGCAGAGCTGCGGGGGGCGGGGCGCTGGCCCCGGGGGTCTCGGGCGCGCTCTCCGGAGGCCGAGCAGCACGCGGGGCGCTGCCTCGCGGGGACAGGTCCCCTGGGGGGCCCCCGGGAGCCGGGGCTGCCCGCCCCTTCCGCTACCCCCGAGCCCGCGGGTCCCGCCGGGCGCGCCGCGACCACCGCGGCGGCCCACGCAGGCACCGGGGCGGAAGCGGGGCCAGTCGCGCTCCCGGGAGAGCCGCCCGGAGTCGGGCGGGCGGGCCGAGGCGCCCAGCGGCGGGGCCCGGGCCCGCGACCCCGTCCCCCGCCGGCCGCACTTACTCTCTGGCCGCCGCCTCGGCCGCGCTCTCGGCCTCCATCCCCGCGCCGCGTCCGCCGGGGAGCCGCGTCCGTTTCGGATCTCGCGCGCGATGCGTGACGCGGCAGGCCATTGGCTGCGCAGGCCAGTGGGTGGGACCAGCGCTGGGTTCTGCTCGCGGATAGGCTGGGACCTCCCGGCGCCCGCGCGCCCTGACCCCGAGCGCAGGCGCAGTGGGCCCAGGGCGGGCGGCCGCGGACGTGGTGCGCCTGCGCGCCGGGCTGCAGGCGGCTCCGGGGGCGGCGGCAGCTGGTGGAAGTTTCCTGCTGCGGCTGGTGGGGGAAGAGGGTGTGGCGAGCACTGTCGTGCTGAGGAACTCTCGGTGCCGCTTTCTTTCTCTTGTCTTCATTCCTCTGCAGCGAGTGCTGAGACGCTCCCGACTCGCTCCACCGACACACACAAGCCAGAGCCGAAATTCCGACCAGACCAGGACACGCAACGCTCTGCACAGTGTGAACAGAAGGAGTCCCCCGGGAAGGCCGGCGGGGCGGCTTGTGGCCCACCAGAACCGACCCTGGGTGGGTTCCAGCCGCACCGGCCCCCTCCAAGGGCCCCAGAACGCTCCTGGGCTTAGCAAAGGCGACGACGGCGGGGCCCGGTGCTGCCCACCGGGTTCCATCTGCTGCACCTCAGAAGACCCCTGAGCCCCGGGAGTGATCCCTGAGCACCGAGCTAGGAGTGCCAACAGGTGTGGACAACCCACCCCCACCTTCACCCGGAAATAGTGACCGGTTTTGTTCCCACAAATGAGGCTGCAAAGCTGTGTTTTCCACGATGCACTCGGTGAAACACACAGGCAGATCATGCCTGTCTTTCGTGGTCGATTAGCCTTGGACTGACTGCTCACTACCCCTAAGGCCACCTAACAAAGCTCCTCAAGACAAAACTCAAGGGTACCAGACTTGGTCTCTTAAATGTATGGTCAGCCAAGTTCCTTAATATTTACAGAGAAACTAAAAAAATTGCAATAGATATGATTGCTGATTACAATTTAGATTATAAATTGTATATAAATATATAATTTATAATGTCTTCATAAATTATATGTGTATATATAATTTATAATGTCTGGCAACCATTAAAAACTACCAAGCTTGCACAAAAGGGGGGCAAATACTTCAGGTGAACTAAACAATCAGACCAGAATGGAAATAGATGTTCAGATCAACAGGCAAGCATATAAAGACCATATCTAGAACTATAATCCATATTTTAATAAAAGGTGAGCGGTAATAAAGTAAAGGGTAAGACAATGGATAAAACAATATGTTCATATTGTGGTGAGAATGTAAAACGGTGTATCTGCTTTGGAAAAATAGCATACAATATTGAAGAAGTGAAACAGGTATATGAATCACAGTCCCACTTCTAAGCAAGAAGAGAAATGGAAACATACAAAACTAGCACATATATCTATGGTAGCTGTTTTCACAGGGGACTAAAAGTAGAACCAACACAAATTCCTCTTTGCCAGAGAATGGAAAATCAAATCTATTCAATTTTTTAGCAATAGCAGAGTGAAATACTAATGCTTGCTAAAATGGGAGTGAACCATGAAAACAGGTTTAGTGAACTGAAACAAAGGATTGAAATACATTTTATGTTAGAAAAAAATTCAAGAATCATAATAGTGAAGAGACATCTATAAAATATTAAGAAAAGATGCAAATGTCACCTTCACTCCTATACATTAAAATGGATCTTCCAAAAATGAAATTCAATAATTTTGATATATGCAATAAGCAATAGGTTATTTATTCCCACTACATGACATGTGAAAGAAGTTTTTATCATATAATACAAAAATCAAATTATATTGAAACCTAAACAAATACAAAGGAATGAAAAACATCAAAAGTACCGTGTAACTGAACTGTATCTTTTTAACTTTCTTAATATGCCCCTATTATCTCTTTTTTTTAGTCAAAATTTCCACTTTCTATAAAGACACCAGAAATACTGAATTAAGACCCCCATCAATAGCCTTATATTAATTTAATCTTTTAAGTGCTAAATTCAGAATATAGTCACATCCTCAGGAACTTGCAATCAGAACTTCAATATAGAAAGCTTTAAGGGTAAGGGGCACAGCTCAGTTATTACAGTGATCTTACTATTGTACTTAGACAAAATCATGAAGTTTCAACTTTATGTTCTTGGTATCATTAATTCTTTTTTTGTTGTTAATTCTTATTTTAAAATTGAATGTCAGTGAGATACACAGTTATAACAATGTTCGTGATTGAGTTTTGGTCATATAATCTTCCAACCCTTTATGTTTGCTACCACCAATGCCACCAGTACCTATCTCTCTCTCTCTCTCTCTCTCTCTCTCTCTCTCTCTCTCTCTCTCTCCACTATGTCTCTCTCTCTCTCCACTATGGTTTGCAATAAAGGTACTGAAAGGTGATCAGGTATATCCCTTTACCTACACCCAGTTGCTGTTCAAAGTGATCATTTCCAACTATTATCATCATATTGGTCCCTTTTCTATCCTTGCCTCCACTCCCCACACACTTGTGGCAAGCTTCCAACCATTGACTAATATCCAAGGACTGGGAAAATAGAGTAAGTATATCTTACTATGGAAGTCTGTTGTGAAAGATAGCGAATAAGCTGTAACAACTGCTCATGATTTATGTGATTGTTCCTATGGTGATAATCATATGGCAAGGAAGTGTGGATGCCTCCTAGAACCTAAAAATAGACTCTAGTCAGCTAGTAAAATGGTGGGAACCTTAGTCAAAAAACAACAAGGAAATATGTTCTGTTACCAGCTGAATAAACTTGGAAGCACATTCTCCCCCAACTAACCTTCAAAACTTATATTGCCCAGTTAAAATGTTGCTTATAGCCTTGTGAGACCTTGAGTTTAATGCAGTATCTGGATCCATGTAAATTGATAAAACAAACACATTTTATTATGATTCAAAATTATAGTACTTTGTTGTATAACAATAGAAAACTAACAGTCAATTTATAAAATAAAGTATAGCAAATTAAACACTAAAGGAGATAAAAGAGAATATAATTAAATCAAAACAGTAAAGGAAGGCAAGGGAATATGGCAGAGGTAAGAGGGACAGAAAATAACTAAGATTGGTGCCAGTGAGAACAGCAGGCAGGGTACTAAAAAGAAAATAGCAAGGATAACAAATATTAAGCCTCAGGAATAATCACAGTAAGTGTAAATATCTTAAGTGTGCAAAATCAGAGATTATGAAAAGATGCTAGATTGGCTATTTCAGGGTGTATATTATTTTCAGAGGGAAAAAAATGTTGCTGCAGAAATGCAAGGTCTGGTTGCTCACCCCTTACCTTAAAGGCCACAGATATTCAAACAATAGCATGAGAAAAACAGCCAATCTGTGATTATCCCTTCGTTTATCACTTACTAAAATGTTTCTTAACCTTAGGTGAAAAGCAAATGCAAGCAGTGAAAGCTCTAAAAATTCTTTGGAGAACAGATGGAGATTGGAGTGCATGTTTACTTACAATATTAGAGGTAAAATCATTCATAATGATACAAGGGTTGACTCATCATGTAAACTTAATATTCTTAATTATTTATGCCCAGTTAACAAGAGACCATTCAAAAATGTGAATGAAAAAGGGCTTTAATTGTAAGAAAAGATCCATAGTTATGCTATAATTTGAAAATTTAATAAAGAAGTTGGAAATATATAAATTGAATATGTCTATAAATGTAATGGATGCTTAAATTGAATATGTCTATAAATGTAATGGATGCTTATTCTTGCCTAAAATTAATGTCTTCCACAGATTATACATAGAAAATTATGTTACTCAATCAATCTCCCTCTGTTGAAGAAAATAATAGCATAACCAGCGAGGAAGTAAGCGGATGTTTTGAAGCATATAATGGATATGAATATTATATTTTTATTATTAAGATTGAAACATCTATTCAATCATTAAACAAGCAACAACAACAACAAATATGTTCTTCACTCATTTTGAAGCTTTTATTGTGTAGCACATGTGAAAGGAATCTGAAAATGGTAGTTACATTTGCATTCAAATGAAATACCATCTATTTTATAAGAATGCATGAGGTGATGATAGTGCTAAATTTTCTGAGATTCATAGATTAGTAAATAAGTATAAGTAATGAAATAATACATATCTTTTCAAGTGTCTCTAAAATGCCTTAGTGCCTTATAAAGCATGAAAAATATATCATGGTTTGGGAATAATTTTCATTTGCATAGAAACTTTCATTTAGTGTGACTGATCCTCCCAGAATTGTTCGATTTGAAGTTGTATTTCCAGAACTTCTTATCTGTTAAGATCAGGGCTGGAGATATGGAAATACAGTACAGGGGACTAGACAATTGGTTTGCATATAGCTATTTCTGATTCAATCCAAGGCACCAAATTCTTCGAACACAGCCAGGAGTGATCTCTGAACACAGAGCCCTGTGTGCCTCCCCTCCTCCTCCAATAAAAGATCGCCTAAATGAGTCATTTAAAAATCAAAATCAGACAAACAGAAGATTACTGTAGACAGCCCAAGAGCTGCCACCATGCCTAGGACTGGACTCCACCGCCTCATGACAAGCTCCTCAGAGACAACAACTGATGAAAATTTCAGGTGCACTTGCCTGAGAACTCTGGACCTTCTCAGAGTGTGGGTGGGCAACCTCCCCCCAACCTCACCTGGGTACTTCCAGAAGCCCTGGCAGCCACACCCACATTCCATCACTGCTGCCATGGAAGCATGCTGCCCAGTTAAACACTCTGGATTTTCTAGAGTTATATTTACAAACTCTACAATACTAACTTCCCAGTAGGAGCACAACAGATTTCTTAGCTAACAGCGTAATAAACTGACTTGTCCTCATGATGAGATATAACAGTTTTCACAAATTCTCTTTTCCTGAAGTAAATTTTGACGATTCCCTTAGTCATTTAGTGGAAACAAGCAATATAAAATAAATTATTTGGGGTCTGCTAAAGAAACAGGCTTGAGGGATGGTT